CATTCCAAATTTATATATGTAAATATAGTCTGGAAATATGACTACTTCAGTCTAGAACAGTCTAGTCGAGTTTGCTGAGAGGTCTTCTTAGGTGTCTATATGGGGAAGGTACAGACGCAAATGGGTAATAGGAATGTTATGCAATCAGTAATTTCCCAAACAATGGTAAGAACCAGATGCAGTGGTGGCGAGGGGAGGCTAAAGAACAAGTATGCTGTATGGGGTGGAGCCAGAGAGAGTTTTGCAGAGAAGAGTATGCTAGAATTGGGTCTTGGAGGATGCACAGGAGTTTGCCTGACTGCTCAAGTGAGGTAGGAGAATTCCAGGGTAGAAGGACCAGCATGGAAAATGATACAGAGGCATAAAAATGCAAGGAGGTCCAGGGTACTATAAACTGTCCTCTCTCAAGTATATACACCTAAGAAGACCCTTCCGTAAATTCAACTAGACGTGTTCCAGACCAAATCACTGGGGAAGAAGAAAGGGTACTTCCACGCCGTCACCTCCACCCACCCGTCCTGTCGACAGTTGCTCCTGTGAACTCGTTGCACCCCTGCAACTCCCTGCAACCATCCCGCTGGTTCTCCCACCCATGTTAACCATCTGAATCCTCCCATCTCTTCAGCTCCTCTTGCACAGTGATGCTCCCATGACTCATGCTCAGTCACAGAAGAGCATCCCTGACCCCCTCCCCCCACACCACGCTGTTCCCACAGCTTACAGCTCCGTGAGCACATCTGCCTTTCTCAAGCAGTCTTATTTTTCTCTGACCTACCAGTATTTCTTCTGCTTTGAATAACCTTTCTACCCTGCCTGTGGAGTTCCACCTCTACGGGCGGCTCATATTTGCAGTCTCAGCTCATCTTCTTGGGAAGTCTTAACCAGTCCTCCCCAATGTGCTTGAATCTTCCCCCATCCAAGAACCCTGATCAGAATTCTTTATATGACTATGGAAAAGGCATTCCGCACAAGGGGTGTATAAGCACTTAGGATCTGGGGTGAGACTGTCTACATCACATCCCAGCAAAGAGACCCTCGTGAGACATGTAACCTCTTGGTGCCTCAGTTTCCCCAGCTCTAAACATGAAGATAAAATAACACTAACCCATAAGAGTGAGGATGAAAACACTCAGCCGGGCACCAGGGAGAACGGAGGTGAATGGTCCCTGCAATCGGGCGCGTGCAGTCAAGTAACTGCAGTGATATACGCAATAATGTTTGAATAACTAGCGAGCTGTGAAGTGGCATCACCGTCTTCAGCACAAGGGCTCACCACACCCCAGCACTGCTCTAATCTGAATGAATTATTCAGTTGATATATATGAGCAGATATATATTAAAGAACTCTCATTAACTAGTAGGCAAAACAAGGTCGTTTAGATTTGTTGACCTTTCACTCTGCTAGGGCAGGGCAATTTCTTATAGCATGTTCTGAAGGGTTTAATTAGTCTATTTTTAAATGCCTGGGCCTTTTTGGTTCACTATCGTATCTGTGAAAGATGGTCCCGCAATGTACAAGACGGAAATTCCAGGAAATTTCTTTTTCTAAGATTTAATTTTCCCTTGACCACTTCAACAAATCCTCCTATTCCATAATTTCGCTAAAAGAAGTATTCCCATTGTGCAGTAATTATGTCTAGGATTTGCAGTTAATGTCACTTCTGCTAAGCTTTTTTCCCTTAACATGCTATACTTCATGCATTTACCCCTGTATTGTTCTACGACATTAGTTCCAAGAAGCCAAATCATAGTTATCTTTGAATTTTTGTGTCTTCAAATTGCCTATTTATTTAAAGTTCTGTGACTCAAAACTCAAAAACTCTCAAAAACTTAAATATCATTTTATTTGGTGATGATAAATAATGTAAAAATAATAGGAAATAAAAGCATGGGGAAAGGGTATAGCTCAGGCAGTAGAGCACATGCTCAGCATGCAAGAGGGTCCTGGTTCAATACCCAGGACCTCCTCCAGGTGGAAGTTAATGAAGAAACCCAGTTACCTCCCCTTCAGAATACAAACAATGCAAGCAAAGCCTGTGCCTCCTTAAAAAAAAAGGAACATAATATAAAAATAATGATGCCTT